GGGAACTCCGGCTTCTCTTGAAGTGAACCTCCGATTCCCACGAAAGTCTCGATGTTGTGAATTGATCTGACTGCACCTTTACCAGACTCATATTCATAGTTTATGTTTAAAACTGAGTTTAGATACCAATTTATTGGTTTGTCGATGTATTGCTTGTGCGTGCAAACAGGTGCGAATTGTAAACGTCAAAATACATGCAAAGAAAAACAATCATATGCACACATAAGTACGATGGTCGGCATACATGTGCATGTAAAGCTGTGCGCGCACACACACATGTAATGTGTATATATATATATATATATATACATACACGTATAAACACTCTCTCACATATGTATGTGTGTGTATATATATATAAGGGGTAGGCAAAACAACTAGGATACCAGGCAAAGGTAACTAGGATACCTATGATGCCACTTTAAACCTGTTCATAACGACTTCCATACTGAAAAAACGCCCGTGACTAAGCCTGAATCCCCAAAGCCCCGAAACTCTAAAAACTTAAACACCCACGCCCTGAAAGCCTAAAGCCCCAAACTCTGAGGGATGAGGGTTTAAGACTTTTAGGGCTTTAAGTCGTCGTCATTGCCATCATCACCATCATCATCTTCAGCATACTCCTCAAACTTACTACTTTGAGATGATTCGGTGTGATAATCAGGATACGCTTACAACACGCATAACGTAAACTTTGAGATTTGACCAGCTGACGGCCATTTGCACCAACCTCAACTCTACAAACGGATCTGAGATCACACTATAAGTAAGTCTCTGGATTTCAAGACGATATGAATGCATAAAAACCGAAGGCTCAAGAAACAGACCAGCCGGTCTTATTGGAGTGTGCTCCAACATGTCTGCATGCGAACAAATTGAAACCTCTGATAATCAGCCCTTGCCTCGACCCTCATATCGGCAATGGGTGGGACTTGTCAGAACCTGGCCTGGCTGTGCCTGCTTGTGGGTACTGAAACTGCAGGGTATTAGAAGAAAGCTCTGGGCCTCGGAAGTCAAGACCATACACCTCTGTTGAGAACCAAATCGAGGCGAACCACATTTACCTTTAAGGAGTTGGGCTTCGGGATCTAATGAATTATAAATACATATATATATATATATATGTATATGTATATATGTATGTATGTATGTATGTATGTGTGTATCTGTATATATATATATACACGCGCCGATACATCGATGTATGGAGAAAATCTGTGTATAGATTGGGCTTAGGTTTCTCAACTCGAGTACGGGCTTACACGAACTTTCAAATCGCGAAAGCAGCGCGTGAAAAGTACTGGACCGTTTAATTTTGGGGTTAGTTCTTCCGCAGCTGAACAGCGGCCGAACAATCTCAGAAGGAGTTCAGATTTCAGAGTTTGTCATGAACAGTCAGCAATTGTCCTATTTTGCACACCTTGCCAACAGCCTTCTGTTTCGGGTTCAGACCCTGGCAAACATGAGAAACTTGGAAGGTGCAAGCAGTTCGGGCCTTTTGAGCTTTTGAGTGCTGGAGACAGTTCGTACAAACTGTTTGCGCGTGTCAGGTGGTAGTGTTCAACAGTTGTACTCATTTCCAGCCATGGAACTACAACTATCAACGAGACACCCCGAACTCTCTTGCTTGGCAGCCCATATGCAGAGACATCCCAAAAGCAAACTTAAAGTCTTCTCAATTGATCGTAGGCCATGCCACAACCAAACATTGGGCTTTCCAAACATTCCCGAACTTTCCTTCTGTCAGATGCCTGGAAGCACAAAAACCAAGTTTTTGTTGCTAATGCTTTTTGGCTTGGATGTGTCAATTCTTTTGAAATTAGTGCTTTCGCGAGTGCCTAGGAGCCGTCAGTTCGCAAGCATTACTTTGTTCAGTATGCTCCATGTTTCCATACTTCTGGCCGGTGTGGGAAGGTAGACTCACCCGATGTCTCTTGGGCCCCCGGCTGCCAAGAGCACTGGTTTCCATGGTCAGTTTGTCTGCGGAATCGGAACGGTCGAAGACGTTGGTCTCATCAATGCTTTTGGTCCTAAAGTTGGGAACCATTGGATTCCACATATGTGGACATGTCAACTAGAACTAGAAGCATTGTGCTTCGCAATACGAGCGTACGCCGGAGCTCCAACCGCATTGGGAAAGCCATGGTATATCATGATGTTCGATTCCCGGACATGTGTGTTACAAAACAGGAACTTTCGGAACTTAAAAATGATATCCATGAGTTTGCAGATGCAACTGCATTTGAAACACAATTTAGGGCATTCTTCAATCCAGCCGAAAGACCTTCCGGAAACACACTGGGAGAACCAAGGTGTTCGATTTTTCTTGACTCCGGGACTCCGGGCATCGGGGCACAAAATCACGGGAATGTCGGAATCCCCGCAAGAACAACCGTTTCCAAATCTCAAAAAAATGGAATGAGCGCGGTTTTTGACCCAAGACATCCCAAGACGCTTAAGAGTGATGGCGTATGCAACAGGTTTCCAGGGTTCTTGCATGCAACGGCGTTGCTGTTCCAAGCCGTGGAAGCTTTGCGTCAAGCTGGTGCAGCCGATTGGTTGTACCTGTACCACTTGCATGGAAACATTTTTCAATCTGATCGGGACTTAACATTGAACGATGTCCAAAGCCATGGCTCTATTTGCAACGAGTACTTTGTTAAACCGTTCTGGTTTCACATGGAGCTTCGGACAGAATATGTCAGTGGTGGCGCATGTAGTACATGATGGTTACATGTTACAAGATGTCAGTCTTTCGGTGTGTGGGTGTGCGACTGAAAACTTACTTCCCCTATTATTCCCAGTGCATTCCCGCCCACAAAGCACCAGCAAAATTTTGCACATCCGCGCCGCACTGTCATGTATCGGACAGTCAAGATGGGACTGTGCTGGAAAGGCTTTGCAGGCCTAGACTCTAGACAAGCAAAGCACTGCAACCACTTTATGTAACGGGACGCTGAAGACACCTCGAGGATGCTGCTACAAACTTGTACCAATGATTACCTACAAAGGTTTTTCCCGGCCAGCTTTGTTCTTGACAACGCGGGACTTTGTGCTTTTGAATTGAACAACCAGGTTCATGACTGTAGTCGCGCTCTTACGAACACTATTATCTTTGTCTTGGTAGCAGGCAGTAATGCCCACATCAAGTAGAGGACAGCAGCTTCAAAATATGAGTTGCTACACCCAGATTTGATCTGGCAAACAATGGGTCGTGCTATTCAATGTGGCAACCTTGCGCTGCTTCGAAGATGTCTTGAAGGTTCCGATCCGTCGTGCTTGAACTACTTCTAAATGAGGACTAACCCTTGCGAACACCGTTAGCCATAGGAATATGAACAAGAGACACAGTGCCACCAAGACTGCCAGTATGGTGTTCATAAACAAGAGTTTCACGTCAACAAGTGCTTTTGATCGGATGTTGGCATTTGTGCTGGCATGTATGCCGACAAAGGGTGTGACTCGACAATGAATGTTTGTATTACAAGAGAAGCTTGC